TTTTTTTTTTTTTTTTTTTTTATGCTTTAATAAACCACAGACAGGTTATCAATGTCTCTTGATCATACCTCACAGTGGAGTTAAATTATTTACCACCCATTGAAATCCTGTCCCTCAACATTCCCTTCAGGGGGTATGCCTGTCTGGAGGGCAAAACTGGGTGGCATGTCTCTACTGTCCCTGGTAAGTTTGTATTATCAGGTAAGCCTATCCATCCTTCCATCCCAATTCCTGCATTACTTTCCCTTACAGGGTTCACAGTGGATGCTTGTGTGCAACATAGAGGTGGCTTCAATGGTGTTGTCAAGCAGTAAGATTAAATTTGGTGCCATTTCTGTGTCCCTTGCAGCCTTGCGCCCCCTACAGTTCTGCCACAGCCTCCCTTCCGGGCACCCTACCTCACATGAGAACATCATGTTTGCCTCTCTGTTGTGCTCTCCAACTGCACACATGCTTTCTGCTACGGTTGCAACTCTGCATCTGTAAACTCTGCACTGTAGCAAGGATACTGCAATCCTGCACAGCTCAAGCCTGGGTAACCACTCGTTTTCTAGTGTTTGCACACTTGGCATACTCTTACACCCTCTAAGTTTTGTTGGGGGCACACATGGCGGACCATAGACTGGGCCGGTTACCAGTGGCCACACAACCCGACAATGGTTCTGATGATTTTTTTTACCCCCTCTGGGGACATTTCTGTTAGTCCCATACTTTGCTCCCTATCCCCTTCCCACTGGCATAAAGGTTATCCTCTATGCCAGTGAGCCTGTAGAGTTCACTCTCTGACTGTCCAGGGAAGAATTTACTGCCATCAAGGCAAAGGTTATGGGGAAAATGGCTGATCTTGAAATATCTGACTTCAGGGGCTGCAAACAGTCCCTCTCTCCTACTCCCTCTGAGTACTACTCTAACTCTCCTTTTCCGGCTTTTGTACTACTTAAGGAGGAGGAAGAAACTGTTTCCATTTCTCAGGAATCCTCTCAGGAGGATATCCTGATATCTTCCCTAAGCTCCAGGACATGGTCCCTGTCCTTGTGGATGTAATTTGTATGTTTGCAGGTAGAACCTCTTGCATTGACCCATTTAAAGGTTACAAGTTTGGGGTCCTTGAAAATACCTAAACCTGCTTAATCCTTCCCTGTTATAGCCTGTGTTGTGTGGTGACTGGGATCATCCGGGAAAACTGTTCTCTCCCCAAAACGGTTTGTCCAGCAATGTCCTATTGAGGAAGGCTTCCTTAAGAAGTGAGTAGTCCCTGCAATGGACCAAGCTGTCTATTCATTACACTCTCTGTTAAGGAAGTGCCAGTTTTCAAGGACCTCAAGGATCCTCCTGAAAAACTTAAGGAGGAGGAAGAAACTGTTTCCATTTCTCAGGAATCCTCTCAGGAGGATATCCTGATATCTTCCCTAAGCTCCAGGACATGGTCCCTGTCCTTGTGGATGTAATTTGTATGTTTGCAGGTAGAACCTCTTGCATTGACCCATTTAAAGGTTACAAGTTTGGGGTCCTTGAAAATACCTAAACCTGCTTAATCCTTCCCTGTTATAGCCTGTGTTGTGTGGTGACTGGGATCATCCTGAAAAACTGTTCTCTCCCCCAAAACCGTTTGTCCAGCAATGTCTTATTGAGGAAGGCTTCCTTAAGAAGTGAGTAGTCCCTGCCATGGACCAAGCTGTCTATTCATTACAGTCTCTGTTGAGGAAGTGCCAGTTTTCAAGGACCACACACACAAGGGGTTAGAAGCTCTCTTTAAGGCCTTGTTTGTCCTTGCAGGACCAGTTATGTAAATTGCTGTTGCCTCTGTGGTAGTTTCCCAGACTTATCTGTATGTATGTCCAGGGCTATCTCTAGGGACCCTGAATCTATCTTAAGCCCAAAGTTTTCTAGTACCTGGAGCTATTACCTGTAGCCTTATGTTATTGCATGGATGGCCTGGTGGATTCTCTCTGCCAAATCTCTACTCAGAGTCAGCCTCCTGTTGATTCATATGTGACAGATGTTCTGCTCTTCGCTTAGACTGCTTGCCCTTTGCTGTCTTTTTGGCTAATCCTTGAATATTTAGATCAAACAAGGATATTAAAGGTCCCCACACACCTTACGATAATCGCGGGAAATCCCGCGATCGTACGATTATCGTAAGGTGTGTGGAAGCCGTGCGACCTCTACTA